CATATTGAGTAGAGGTATGACAAATTTCAAAAATACAAATGTTGTTACTTAACTAAAGTGTGATCTGTCTCGTGCTTACATCTTTACTGATTAAAGCCAATGGAATGTTCTTGTAACCAGGTTTTCACAAGCATATAAACAATGCATTGATGACTTTCATTTAAAACAGTGTCACATCAAGGATATAGGCCCTACCGGGTACAGTTCTCCATTCCACAATAGAAAATAGTCTATCAACAAAATGAAGTTTTTGTTAACAATATTTTCTTAAGTCTGTAACCATGTAAACAAACTTGAAACTTTAAATTATACATTAACATTATCCTTTTAAAAACCAAATACTAAACTTTTGAATACAAGAGCACAAGAAAATAACAAATGTTCTGATAATGCCAATGAAGACAATGCATAAATGTGCATACAAACACAAAAAGTGCAGTGATTTCTGAATTCAATGTAAAAAGTCTTTAGAAAGCGAATTCACATGTTCACAGTAAAAAAAAACTTGTAAATGACAGTCTTTAAGATCATTAGGCTTTCTGCATTGGCGTCTTGGTCTTCAGTTTTGAGGAGTTCCTTTTCTATTCTTAGTAGAATGTGCAGTTCCCACAGCTTAAAATTGTTTCAAATATCTCATTGGTGTCCGCGGCACAGTGCTTATCCTCACTCTGTTTTGCAACATTGTTATTTGGATAACAAATGGGACTCGGACAATTGAGTGGTCTTACTCTTGCCGGAGTTTCACTGTTGATAGTACGCATTGTAGAGTTATACAAGAATGCATGCTCCCAATTGATACAGTGGTTACTTGTTCAAATTGGTAATATATTTTTTGTATATTGTATATTGTGAGTACCTTATATTATATTGGACTATCAGTATGTCAAAATATATTTTTTCCGTTAGTTTAAATATTCATTATACTTTATGAACTAGGAGATATTTAACAATTTCTAGCTAAACATTTTATATTTTAACTTGTTTTATTATTCTGTTTTCATAAAGTAAAAATGATAAAGATCATATATAGACTCACTTAATGTCAGAATGTCGAGAGATGACAAGGCTGAAACTCAGTGCGCCTGGAATGTCTTTTTAGAAGGCAATACAAAGTGACACCTAAAGCAAATTTCTTTATCTCGGTGCCAAATTCAAGAATCAAATAATGTTTAAAAAAATAACCTCGTTCCATGCAGGCCTCAAAGTCATAATGCATATGACCTGTTTTAACTTAAAAGTATTCTTCGGCATGAAATATTTTGAGATCAAGAATACATTCGTTGCCCAGGCCCTGAATTAAAATATAAAGCAATGTTCAACGGAGACTATTGCATTAAACAAAAAAGGGACAGAAGACAGAAGAAATTACTGTATTATATTTTCACTAATTCGTCTTATGCCAAGAAATAACATGGGCAAATGGCTTTATCTTTTCCTCGGTCAAGGTCATTCTAAAAATGTGGACATATAATGTTGTAAGATAAAAATCGCTAGGGTTTCTGATAATATCAGTTTCTTTAAATCCACATTTGGCGTAAAGGGCACGTGCGCTGAGCTGGAATTCAGATGTCGACAGGAAAAGCTCCTTGTAACCACTCTCCTTGCAAAACTCCACGGCGGTTTTTACCAAATCACTGGCTATTCCAGACCCTCTGCAATCTGGTTCCAGGACCATTCTTTTTAGTTCAGCAACGTCGTCAGTTTTCCTGTCAATGGCCACAGATCCCAAAATTCTCCCTGCGTTCTCAGCCACCCAAAACCTTGACTTGGGCCTGTTGTAGTATTCGTACAGGTTCGCCTTTTCCTCTTGAAAGCATGCCTCCCATCCCCATATTCCCATGTAACAGTTGGCCACACTAATTACTACCCAGAAGATAACAGTTGCCAGTACCGAGAAAATAGCATTCCCCGTGACGTACCACAGAAAAGCTAGGACAGGGGCGGCAATCGCGGCGGCCGGCAGCTGCGCCAGGGTTCTCTTTACTAATCCTGGTATGACACAATTCGTCAAATTACGAATAACCATCTCCCAGACCCATCTTTGCTCAGTTTTGCTGGAAGAAATTGGCCGAATTATCACCTTGCTGCGGTCTATTGCTGGAGGCATAGTGGTCGAAGACCAACTGTAATAGCAAAATGTTAATGTAAACGTTAAGATATTTTAAAATATAAAGACAGAGTACTGTACATGATGACCTTTTCGTTATTTTCATATTTTATATGGTTAATTCAGTGAAGCTTTTAATTGGTGATATAAGAACGCGTCAGGCAGTTATTATTATTTTTTTTTTTTTGTCATATACAGTGTGTCCCAGTATAAATAAAAAAAAAACAAGAACGTGAAAGGCATTTAATTTATAAACATTTATGCTAGGACACCCTGTGTATGTGAACTTGGAACAAGGTACATTTCTGCATACAAGAAATCATTTTTATATAAAATTTGAGCCTAATTCTCGGTTTATGACATACCAGCTGAACCTGCATGCTCCTCTCGTTAAAAATACATACATGTAATGCATTTTACATATATTTATGTTTCTTTTAACAAAAATAAAATTAACTAGGATGAGAGAAATATATGGGTGCCTTACCTGTAAAAGCATCGAGAGGTGAATGCTCTACTTGAACCAAATGATTACAAGTGTTTACTTAAATGTACATAAAGCAGTTTGTACCGATAGCACGACCGTTCCACGTGCTGATACACTGTACCCTTTTTTGTTTTGTTTTGCTATTTTTATCTTGCAAATGACCTCTTTTCCGTTTCTACAGGTTTTATCTTACCGTGTAGCGTTTTTTAAATGACCTAACCGACGTCAAATGCCGTACGACGCGTGCTTGTGAGTAGTCTGAAGATAATAATGCACTCGTGAACTGTTTCCACACACCTGTTCAGAATACCACAGACGCGAACTAGTGATCCAACCAGGTCGGTTTTCGAACTTATCTTGTTGGTTTAACCCCGCTTATCAGTCAACTCACAGTCTGGCTGCATTATGACAAGCAACACAGGCCCAGCCACTCACAGACATGGTAAGAAAAAAAAATAGATCGTAAGTTCAAATCACTATACATGTACCTGCACATCGAATTGGTAATTATTAAGGCTTTATATTTATAAAAGCGACGCGACCTGGTCGTAAACAAACTTTCAAAATGTTACATGAATAATGATTTCATCAGTAACATATGGCCCAGCACATTGCAAGCAATGGCCACTGTTTCTATTTCACCAGAGTGACCAAAATATGTAGAAAGAATTAATATACCCAAGCGCACGTCCCCTCATGTGCATGTAGATGTATATGCACGCTCTCCCCTTTCTCTTTACCTTACGTGCACAAACATAAAAGCACCACCCTGCACAGCACGCCCCCCTCCCCCCTTCCCCCCCCCCCCACCCCACACACACACTCACATACAAAGTAACACAGATGACTAGCCACATATGCTCAGAATTATTAACAGTTAAAACACATTTTTATTTTTAGTACCGGTACTGCCATATGCATATGAGTAAAAGTAAATTTGCTGTTGTTTTTATCAGGATTCTCTTATCAAGACAACCTTTCCACCAGCCAATTAAAAGCACAGTTTGAAAAAGACGGCCAAGTGCTATGCAACACCTGAGTGTTTCACATTAGTCAATTGCATGTCTTTTCTTAAAAAAAGCTTTCTCAAAGTTGCTCTTGTAAACAACACCAATACGTTACACTTTTAAATACAGATCTAGAATTATTATAAACTGATTGATTCCACCTATCAAAATTTATTCATTTACAAATGGAGCCCAATCAAACCAAGCCGAATCATATATGCTAGGGGTTGCTTGAATAGTATGATATGAAACAGCCAAGTCCATACTTTTAATTTTAAAAAATAGTAATAAAATCTACAACAGTATATCAATTTTTCATCAAAAATCACCAGAAACCTTTTAGACCACAAAGAAGTTGGCAAGCTAAGGGAAGCGTTTGAACAGGACGAGGGTATTAAGTCGTTCAGTTACGGTCGGGACGACGGGGAGGGACGCCGCACCAACACCACCTTGTGGCACCGCCCTGGGGATGACATCACGGGGTTGGTTGCCAGGAGCGAGAAAGTGGCGGGAACAATGGAGAAGGTAATTTTTTTCATATAGGTATCTATAATAAGGGATACAAAATATCCACAATATCAAGACCTTAGTGAAGTCTTACAGGCACGCGAATTAGGAATATGAGACAGGCCTACTAAAACGTATTAAGATTATATCACATGAGTTGTGTTGCATTTGGTTCAAATTAGCATAACCTTTTTTGTTCAAATTCATAATAAAACAATTTATTTATTAAGTAAAATGGAGTGGAATAAATTTGCTACGGCAAAAGGATTGTATTGTTGACCCAACAGTAGCTGACCACTGATAGGCGAGTAATGACGTTAGCCAATTAAAACGTTGAGAAAAACATGCCGTGGGCGATCCGACGTTGGGCTTAGGACACGACCTGGGTCACGACGATCTTAAGTCGACGCCGGCAAAAACCTACGTAGCTAAGGTTACCATGAATATATAATGTGCATATTGTTCGTTGTTGTTTAGCTCCTTGGTGGCGAGTTGTATCACGACCATGCCAAGGTTGTCATCAAAGACCCGTTCACAGGGGGCGCTCACATCTGGCACCTGGACTATGGGTAGGTGACGCGCTTGCAAGATAAGAAGACTGGTTGCCGATCATAAATGTATATACACCGTTGCTGCGCATTTTACAATTTGTTCCAATCGTTACATGTGTCATTTTACAAATAATGTTGTACTTTTTAGAAAAATGAATTAATTAAGGAATCAATTTTTTTGCACAGATTATTTTTCTCGAATTATGAGCTTGTTCAATTCGTGTGATTTTGCTCCGAGGGAAAAGTAGTAATTTCAGTATTCTGCTAATATACCGGTAAAATACTGCCATATAACCGCAAAATCAGCCAAACCTGCGACGTCGACAAAGACTGATTTCCTGTGGACTGGCATGTTTTGAATAATTAACAGTCTTTAATTTCTTTTATTTTATTTCTTTTATTTAATGTTCTACCGCGGATTTCAAGAAAAGTTAATTCTTTCCAGTTACTGGTATCTAGACGGGTTTCTGTTTCCGGAAATGGCGACGGCGTGGATAGCAGTGGACAAGGCAGACAAGACCAACGGCTGTTTGAAGGTAAAATGGTGTGCATTTGGCAAGCAAACTACAGGCAAAATCTCAAGAGGTCGTATACGATTTTTTGCTCACCTATAATTTTGTTTCATGTCATGGACTTGGCTTTTTTCCCAAAACCAAAATGCATCTTTAAGAAATTTTGAAATAAATGCCTCTACCAAAATATTACATTTAAATGAAATGCAACGTTTGCATGTAACCGGTCAGTGGGCTCAAGGGATTTTTTGATTAGCTCAAGCAAAAAAAAAAAAAAAAAAAAAGGCAGCAAAGCTGCCAAATGGGCAGACATATTAATGCCAAAACTGATTGAATCCGTAACATTAAAACAATATATCTAAAAAGGACAAACAATCCTTAAATTGTTTATAACACAGTTGAAAAAATGTTCAGTTGCCCGGCGGGCAATTAGAGGAGAAAATTACTGAGTATGTTAAAATATTAAGATTTTGTTGTTGAGTCTTTGCATTATCTTAATATTTATTAGCTCCGAGTTTCGCATTACTGAATATGACCTAGCCCTCTTCATATACCATTACCAGGCCCTCATCATATCTTTGTCAACCGCTTCGCTAATGCACGGTTTTTACGCAAGGAGATTTTAAAAATAAGGTGCTATAATAAAACTCTGTCCTCTGTTTCACCGCAGATCCTCCCCGGGTCGCATCATGCCGGGCGAATCGCCCACGTCAAGGTAGGAGACCAAGTCGGCGCTGACGTGGAGCGCGTCGGTCATCTCTCGAGGGCGTGTCCACTGATGTACGCGGAGCTTGACCCCGGAGACGCCATTTTCTTCCACTGTAATTTGCTGCATAGGAGTGACCAAAACAGTAGCCAGCACCGACGGTTGGCTTACCTGGTGGCGTACAACAGGGTGACCAATTCGTCTGTGTATGAGAAAATACATACCTTGAGGGGGAATCCACTTAACAAGGTGAAAAAAGATTAATGAATTAGGTCTCTAAATTTATTAAATGAGGATCAATACTTTTCAAAATAAAAAGAAATACATTAACAGTGCGTGAGTGGGGCTGGTATTGATTGATGATGCAGATTGTGTTTTATTTAAAATGATAATAACAGTGAACGATTAAACGCATGGAAAGTATAACTTAAAAATAACCATTTATAGATAAATAAACGACAACTTTGTCATTTTAAAATTTTGACCTCATTTAAAGTTGCCTTTAACCATTTATTATATTTTGAATTTTTTGGAGAACGAAACGAACATTATTTAGATTAATTATTTTCGTTTCTAGGTGTCGAACTCGGCCATTACAGAGTGCCCCAGTAAAACGAACATACAAGGAAAAGTCTACTTCGGTGGACCAAAGGAAGACTTGGCACTGAGAAAATTAGAACAATAAAAATAAACTAACAAAACTTGTGCAGATTAGCAAAGACACGGTGCCATTTTTTAAAAATTGTAACAAAGGCACTGCAAACCAAGTGAATCCCCTTCCATAATCCTACTTAAAGGTGCGACAAGGAATAAAGAGACTATTAACATGGATTTTGCTGTGTTTTTCTTTTCAGAAAACATATTTGATATTTTTACAATTTTATTATTCTGAGAAGTCGCTTTAGCTACCCACAATTTTCTTGGCTCTACTAGCTATATTGGTGATAGTATTTTAGCTACCCCGTCTTTATTTGTCGGGCCTATCAACCTCCTCCCTCTTCTTTTCTAAGCAGACATTCAAATTTATGTAGGCCTAATAGCCTTAAACTTTTTAATCAGCTATTGCGGTTGCTAACTTCAATTTATTTTTAGACATTTTAATGGGAGAGCTCTGAATAAAAAACGGCGCCTAATAAAAAATGTTATGATTCTGCCTTCTTGCTTGTTATAGTAGGCCCCTATACAAACTGCGAGTCACACAAAATGCGTCTTACTCACGCCAAAAGAGGGCGTGGTATTTTTCGTTCAGACAAATTTTGTAAGCCGCACGCAGGTGGCGCTGTAAACGGTGTAACTTGAGGACATTCAAAACAACTTCCGCAAATACTTCACCGGGTGTCTTAAGTAGGACAAAAGCAGCGGAGGCTTCCATTTTTTCCCCATGTTATGCGGATCTCTCTGATTTAACGATAGGCATAACCGTGTGTAGCGGCTGCTAACAGGGCGAATCATGGAGAGTGCTTCCTTTATCACGTTTATCAGCTGCAATTTAATGGTACTGAGTTTGGGATCGGGGTCTCAGGCCCAGGCAGAACAAGGTACGTACGGTACATGGACGCTATAGTTTCTGTGGGTACAAATTTTAGGGTGGGGGAGGGGCGGTAGAGGAGGAATTTTTAGATGTCTGCACATGGACTGGAGAGCATTGTGTGTTGGGTACATGTACTTGTGCAAACGAGGAATAAGGGGGTGTGCGGGAGGGGGGTGGGGTGGGGTGGGGTGGGGTGGGGTGGAGAGAATTAGAGAGAGACAGATTGGGTGTTGTCTCTGTGTTCATAAAATTAATTATGGTAAAGTTGACATTGGGCTTAAAAAGTGGAAAACGCCAAAAATAAGATCAAAATATTGGGAGCATTTTTTTTTACTAAAGAATAGCCGGGCCCCAAAGCAGTTTTTACCCCCAACCCCTCCAATTTAATTTTTAAGCTGGTTAAAAAAATGCAAATCTTTATTTTTGTTTTCATATGCATATATACATGTAAATGAATGTAATGGAAAATCCTTTCAGACACTTTGTACATTACCAATGGATCTCACATCCTTCAGTCTAACCCAGTGACAGGTGTCCATACCCCACTGGACATCCCAAGTGACCAGGTAATAACAGCTTTTTTAAAAATTAAATAAATAAAATATTTAGAATTTGGTATTTTCCTGGAATCATGAATTACTTTTCTTGCTTTAATGTGATGGTGCTTTTTCAAGTTATTTTTTTATGAGAAATAATTATGATTACAAGTCTTTACTGGTAATTTGTCATCTAAAAGCCTTTAAGTTTATTTTTGATACTAATTAACCGGATTGCCCTTATATGTTTTTAGTAAGTTATAAATACTTATATTACTAGTTAGTCAGAAAAAACCCTTAATTTCATAATTTAAAACCTTCCTTATATGTTTATTAGTACTTATATTACTAGTTAGTCACAGAACTAAATCCTGTTAAGGAAATTAAAATTTCATAGCTTACTGTAATACCTTCTGTGTGTGTTTAAATTTCAGATTGGCAGAGCAGTGGGTTTAGCAGTGGATGCCCAGGAAAATCTTGTATTTTGGTCTGATGTCAGCTATGAAAAAAAAGGCATCTATGTCTGGAACAACACACACAGCGTCAAGATTATCAGTGGTAATGGCAATTTTTTTCCAGATAGAATGTGAAGGAAAGGTCTCTCTCTGTCTCTTTCTCTCTCTCTCTCTCTCTCTAAACCACGAGATCAGTAAGATTTTTCCTAGCTGGGGCAGTTTTAACATATTTTCTCTTGTGACCAAATAGCTAAATGTTTTTAAAATATTAAAATATCAGTTTCCCCCATGTGATATGTTTCCCCCCCATACAAGTTTTTGCTTCCAATTGTTTTGTTTTTTCGAGATGGTAAGGTCAAGGTACAGTTGCTTCTTTAATTTCATCTCATTTTCAAATACAAAGAGATGAAAGAATTTTGTGGTTGGGGGAAAGGTGTCTAGGAGAGAAAGAACCTTAATGAAGTTTCTAATCAAATGACCCCTATATTTATTAGCATATAACAAAAAAATGTTTTTTGAAATTATTTCATTTCGCGGTAATTTATCTCAAGCACATGGCAGAATAATTTACATGCTTCACAGTACACTGAGGGAAGCTTATGGTTTATGGAGTTGCAAAATTAACTAGTTGGGTTTTTTCTCTGCTGCTTTTTCTGAGTACATAAACTGAAACCTATCCTGTGAAGCCGTGTTAGAACAACAGGGAAGTTTTAAAGGCCACTGAGTGTTATTTGAAAAAAGAGAATACCACTCACTGTGCACATGTTTTTTATGGCTTCTTGGCACTGACTACTTGCAGCGCAGGACATGTGACTGAACCTGCATGATAATAGACTAGATTAAAATGACAAACACTCAATAAATTTGAACAAGATAAAATTAAGAATTTTCATAAAATGTTCTGTTTATAAAAAAAAAAAAAAATTTGCTTCAAAAGTTTTGAAAAGTTAGTTGGCTTGTTATTATAAAATGAAAAGTCTGAGTAGTTACTAGTACTGTATATGAGTACAGTATTTTCATAAGTATCCCTTTTATGTGGAATTTATATTAAGATTTATATTATAATTTAAGTAAAATAATCATTTTTAAGATCTATATTTATGCATATTATGAACAAATAAGAAATGAGGGCATTAGAATATTCAAGAATATTCCCCCTCTTTGGTTCTGTCTTTTTTCTCACTCACTTTTCACTCTCATTATCTTGTATTTTTCTTAGTTACTGTAAAATTTAACCTAATACCTTGGAACATTTTTTATGAAATACTGGAAAATCTGTCTGCTTTTCCCTATTTATTTATTTATTTATTTATTTATTTATTTTTGTATTTTGCTTCATCATGAGATAGGACTTCATGCTAACATGAAATTAAAAACATTCCATATAATATGTTTTCTTTACTTAGTGACATGTGTGCTGCTTCTTTTTTTAAACTGTACAAGGAAGTTGGCCAGCAAAAAATTACTTTCTGTTATAATGACTATATCAGCAGTTAGCAGCAGTGGTGAACACATGATTTTAATTAACTTGTAAATTGACGGCTTTTATTGTTTTTTTACCATATGACTTATCTGCTGATTGTTTTATTATATTGCACAAGGAAGTTGGCAAGCAAAACGTGTCTGTTTTATATTGACTGTGTCAACTGAACAATCAACATAACTGAACATATGACTAAGATATTTATAATAATCTGAAAACTGACAGCCCCTTTTATTGTACTAATTGTCATATTTGTTTTCCAATATATGCCCACTATTGCAGTGGAACATGTATTTCACTTGGGTTCGCATCACATTTAGTTAATGCTTTTGCATATATATGTAGCTGGCATATATATGTAGCAGGAAAAAAGAAAAAAAGAAGGCTAGAGGGTAGATAAGTACAGCTAGTGTTTTTCTCCAGGATCTCTCTTTTCTCCAATCTCCAATCCCTTCGATAAAAACTGATCTTTGGTAAAAACTGGAATATATGAATTTACTCTTTAAACATGGAGAAAATAAGATACTTAAAGGAATACTCTTTGTATGAGATCCATATTTCATAATAAATACTTTGTAAACAACTCAAAGAAATATCATAAATTCTGCAGCTGGAATTTGTGCTTACCATCTTACCACATTATTTGGCTAAAATGAACAGTTGTTATCCCAACCAATTGAATATAAAAACATTCGTTCATCATTTCCTTTCAAGAGAATAAAACTATTAAAATATAAACAACTGGAAATAAAAGGAATTTATAAATAAAAAGTGGAATAAAATTTTGTTACCCCATTTGCTGCTCTCAATGGTTGAAAGTCTACCATTCCCAGGTAAATATTTAAAAAGAGAATTTGCTGAATGGGAAGGTTGTATATGAAGAATTCCGCACTTCTGTCTCCTCATATACTGTTAGGCCACATTCACAATCAAAGTTGATCCACAGACAAACAGATCCACGTATAAAATATGGCTGACCCACTTGAAAGCTTGCCGCATAATCCCTGTAAATAATCTTTTCAGTGTCTCTTAGGGAATTATGCAGCAATTTTTCAAGTGGGTAGGCCATATTTGATCCGCGGATCTGTTAGTTTACAGATCTTCCGGTGCTGAATGTGGGCTTATACTATATTTCCTCCTCAGATGTGGCCGAGGTGAACGGGGTGACGGTGGATTGGACAACCAATCACATCTACTGGACCGATGCTGGCCGCAAAACCATCGAAGTGGCAGACTATGATGGCAGAAATCGCAGAATTCTCATCTCCTCTGGGCTGAGTCGACCCAGAGGAATCGTTGCAGATCCCGTGTCCGGGTGGGTAAACAGTAGCTCTCCATGGCTTCCCTTGGCTCTAGATTTTGGAATTGCCAGCTCGATCTTGATGTCATATTTAAGCCACATCAGCAATACCGAAATACTGAAGCAATACTGTAAAGCCAACATATGAAAAGGTATAGTGAGCAAGCTAGCTTTACAGTGCCCTGATACTCAGGATATCTGTGGCTTGCAGATACATGATTGGAGGGAGGGGGTTTCAGGGCATCACACTTGAGTTGTTGTGTTTTTTTTTTTTTTTTTTGTATGCGGAGACAGTGGAGAAGGAAAAAAAGCTAAAAAAGTTATTTATGTGCTTGCATTTTCTCCCCTCTCTCCTTTTTCCCCTGGCAAGTGAAATTGCAATTCTCCAGTAGACTATGAGTTGGGTATATGTTGTAAAACTGTACAGCTCACTGGCCTTTTGAGCCATTGAGGCTAAAGAATCCATGTCCTATAAGCAGAAATAGTGACAAGCAGTAACTGAACAAATTTACACAATTTTACTGGCACAACCTCAGTTCTACTGGCATTTGGCTTTGGGCCAGTGTTAATGTTGCTGACTAAGGTATCAGCTTACTATTATTCCCTTATCACTGCATGTGCTCTTTTTCCCAAACACTGGGCTATACTGAAATAACCTTAGGGACCATTCCCATAACACTATCTTACTAGCTGGATCGATCTATCTCCGTGGGGATTCTCACTAACATGCATTCAGTTTACATGTGCATGTAAGACAGTTACCCCTCTAGAATCTTCGGTGGGCATGACAGACTTTTAAAATGCTTAAACTGAATGCAGTTTAGCAAGAATTCCCTCAGAGTAAGATCGATCCTGCTAGTATGTTTATGGGAATGCAGTCCTATATTACGTAACACACATCAGAGTTGTTCTTCTCCCTGTTACATTTTTTATGATATGTTTAGATTATTAATTGTTTTAGACATTTTGAATGTCAGCTTAAGATAGCCTTTAGCGACAGAGTTGAAATTAGTTTATAATCTCCTTACCGATTTGCATTTTGTTTAGTCTGTTTGTATTTGTTTTTCTCACATGTGTCATTTTTTATAAAAAAAAACTTTACCAATTTACACAGAAAAAAGAGAACCATACCTTGATATAACAACCTTGATACATATATTACAGCTACTTATTTTGGGGTGACCAAGGCACAAGAAGATTAGAGAGAACGAGACTGGATGGCTCTGGACGTATAGTTTTACCAGTGACTGGCCTCTTCTGGCCAAACCAACTGACCGTTAACTATACTGATGGGTAAGTACAGCTACATATGCTAGTACCATGCTGACCACTTTAGAAAATGAAACTTTCCTCTATTAGTATAACTGTTACATTTTTGTTATAAAAGATGCGTTTAAAGCACTTTCATATAGTAATGGTTTCATGTGTAATTGCTCTTATTTTAAGAAGATGAACAACACAAAAATAAATTTTTATTTGGTTCCTGTAATGCTACTCTTTTGTCTTAAGATTTTAATTTTTTGGGGTGTGCCAAATTAAAAAGGAGTAGAGTCATGAATCAGCATTTGTTAAAAAATCATTATTATAATAATGTTTATTCTTGCAACTATAAGTTGGATTTTACATGTTAGTTTTTAAAGAGTGATAAAAACAACTAAAACAAATCATGACAATAAAACACAATATTAAATAAATTATTAAAACATATATCATTTTCCTAAATACTACTAGTATCCGATGCAAATTTCACTGCAGTATCTTCAATGCCCATAACTGTTGAGGAAATCAAACTTTTTAGCCACCCAGTATACCCAAGCTAAAATAATATCAAAATCTGACTTCTATAATAATCCAGGAGACTACTGTGGGTGGATGGAGCCAACAAGACACTGAATTCCTGTGACAGAGATGGCAGTAGTGTTAACATGGTGGCCAACTTCAGCATGGACAGTCCAGGTCCACTGTTTGGTGTTGCTGTATCTAACACTGACCCAGTTGTCTATGTCACTTCATGGTACAGTGGTCAAGTGATGAATGTGTCCACGGAGGGTCAAGTGGGCAAAGCTTTGACCAATGTAGCGGCTGGCAATGCAGCTATATTTAGTGTGGCTAGCACGTTCCAACCTTCAGGTAAGATTAGAAAAATACTTTGCTTTATATGATAAAAATGCTAAAATAAAAATCTAGTTATAGTCAACAGTAATTTTAAACTGTTTTTATGAGCTGTTTTGATGTTTTTGTTTTCATTCTTTTTCTAAAGTAATGTCAATATGTTGTTTCAAACAGTACTTGGACTAGCATCAAGATTTAATCCATTGGTGACTTTGAATTTTCTGATAAAAATTCATTCATATATTTGATAAAATAGTGCGCTTACTATCATTTACAAACTACATCCATGTTATACTTATAACTTACAGTAAATACAGCACAGAACCCCTGCATGACGTCTGACAGAGGACAGTGTGCTGGCTTGTGTCTGCCTACTGGTGCTGACACCTATAGGTGCTCATGTGGTTCATATGGAGGACTGTCTCTGGGGCAGGATGGGAGGAGCTGCAGGAGTAAGTACATGTACACAGTTATACTATAATGTTTCAGGCCCGTAGCCAGGGGGGATCTGTGGGTATGACAGAACCCCTTTTTCTGGGAAAAGGTCCCCTCTGGGTAAAATTTTATCTAGGTACTCAAAGGTTTCATTCTAAAAGGTATACTTTTTTAGAAAAAGAAACCCCCTTTTGAAATTGCTAGCTAAAGGCCTGTGTTTCATCTCTGGCTGCCACTTGATTTGAGGTGATTTTTGGAAGATGCCGAGTATTTATGCATTTTAAGAAACAACTAGATTTGATGCTCTAGAATTGAGGAGGACAGTAGCTTGTAGTTATATATCTAAATTAGCCGAGGAAAGATTCTTAGTGGTTATACACGTCGCTCTTCTGAATAAAAGATGTTTGAATTTAGAATGGGACTTGTATGTACCGGTATCTATGTACATTGAACATTTATTTTCGTTTTGAAAGTTAGTTCATTTATGATGGCCATACCAGATTTACTAATACCTGTATGATCCTGTATAACTCAGATTCATGACAGAAAAAAAAAAAAAACGATAATAGATACAGACTGTATATTACTTGTTCTAAAAAGAAAATGGACAAGTTGTGTACAGAGATAAAGCTTGCATTCAAAACATCTAGAAGGTCGGTACATATAGAGTTACAATTAACACAAAGGTCATGTTTTGAACATTGCACCAAATCATGTGTTTTCATAATATGCACACAAACAAATCATAAAAAAACTAATATTAAATGCAATTAATACAAAGATCACATTTTGAACATTGCCCCAAGTCATGTGTTTTCATAAGATACTAGTGCACACAAACAAATCATAAAAAATTCAGTTTAGATTATCATCATGATATAATTCTTTTCATTTTAGCTCCGCAGAAGGTCCTGCTGTTTGCTCTGGCAGATGTTGGGGAAGTGGGTTATCTTGACCTAGAGGGAGCCACTGGGTCACCTGACCATTACACCATTGGTCACAGTCCAAGGCCAGTGGCTGTGGCCTATGATGCTTTCAGACAGGTAATTAAATAAATACACTGTGCAAAAATATAAACACCCCAGCCAATACTTACAACATTTTCTCACTTTTGTGGTTTATTTATGTATTAAATCACACAAAGTGAATTTTGTCGTTCATTGTGCTACAGATTACTGTCCATAGCCCATTACATTTTAAATGTACATAAATAATTCACATGGGGCATTTATATTTTTGCTTAGTGTATATGCATGTATACAGGTACTTTGCAAGTGCCAACAACATTTAGGAAATTTATTCGCAGCTTAATTGAATCAATTTAAATTGATTTTAAGGAATAATTTTGAACTAGTTTTCCGTATTTCCACTGCATCACTGATTCAGAACAAAAATACTTTTTGTTCTTACTATTTCTTCAGCAGTATGAAATGTTTGACTGAAATGAAATGTTTCTCTTTAGATTGTATACTGGAGTGATGTCAGCAACAGAGCCATCTATAGTGCATCTCTCCAAGGAGGAGCTCGGAGAGAAATTCTCAACTCTTCCCATTCCATAGGAATTGTTGATGGTAAATATTTTTTCACTTGCTGTTTCATGGATAAAATGCTGTTTTAACTTTAAGTTTATTAAAAATAAACCTGTTTGGGGTCTTAATATACATATTGTTGCTGTACAAACAGAGTCAATCAAAAAATTGCACCCAAGACAGCTGAATTCATGTAGCTAATTAAATTTATTAATTAATTGATCACCACCAAAGACATCCTGATTTTTAAATTAAGGTCCATTCGCATGGACTTTTAGAAATAAGCTGTTAACTAGCTAACTGGAACAAACTAACAAAGGCTGAAACCTAACCTAGGTGGTGCAGTAAATACAGTCATTTCTTTATCGACATGTCCCCTCTTACATGAAACCCTTAATAAATTGGTATTGCTGAAATAAATGGCTCTTTAATAAAACCCTGTTTCCACCAATGTAACTGATTTAGCAGAGCTATAACTCTGAGTGCTCCATTTCTATATTTTGCCAGGCCTGGCGTATGACAGCGCTGAGAACAGGCTGTATTTTTCCAACATGGGTATTGTGAGCATAGACAGTGCTGCGTACAGCTGGCATAGAATAGAAATGGTTGACCTGGACAGTGGCCAGAGACAGACAGTGGTCAACGTGGCACAGAAACCAAGGGCTATCTGGATTGACCAGGTCAACAGGTAGGTCAACATGGCACAGAAACCAAGGGCTATCTGGATTGACCAGGTCAACAGGTAGGTAAACGTGGTACAGAAACAAGGGTCTATCTGGATTGACCAGGTCAACAGGTAGGTAAACGTGGTACAGAAACAAGGGTCTATCTGGATTGACCAGGTCAACAGGTAGGTAAACGTGGTACAGAAACAAGGGTCTATCTGGATTGACCAGGTCAACAGGTAGGTAAACGTGGTACAGAAACAAGGGTCTATCTGGATTGACCAGGTCAACAGGTAGGTAAACGTGGTACAGAAACAAGGGTCTATCTGGATTGACCAGGTCAACAGGTAGGTAAACGTGGTACAGAAACAAGGGTCTATCTGGATTGACCAGGTCAACAGGTAGGTAAACGTGGTACAGAAACAAGGGTCTATCTGGATTGACCAGGTCAACAGGTAGGTAAACGTGGTACAGAAACAAGGGTCTATCTGGATTGACCAGGTCAACAGGTAGGTAAACGTGGTACAGAAACAAGGGTCTATCTGGATTGACCAGGTCAACAGGTAGGTAAACGTGGTACAGAAACAAGGGTCTATCTGGATTGACCAGGTCAACAGGTAGGTAAACGTGGTACAGAAACAAGGGTCTATCTGGATTGACCAGGTCAACAGGTAAAAATCTAATGGTAATATGGTACAGAAACTTGGGGTGATGTGGATTGTGCAATTTAATAGATATATGAAAATATTTGCATTATTTTCATTTATTTTTTATGTACAGGCACAGATATGTCTGTACATATTGCCATTGCCTGTGTCTGTCGTTGTTGGTGGCAGTGGCAGCAGTGTCGCCATGTAGCTTCAGTGTTAAAAAAAATAAATAAATAAAATAAATAAATAAAAACTGTTTTACCTGAAAAATGAAGAGCATTTTACCTATTGTATTCAAACTTACAGAACTGATGAATATTCATGAAATACAAGTCAAGTTTGAAAATCAGCCTTTTTTCCAAAAGTTATGCTGTTTTTTTTTTTTTCAGTATATTTTATCCAGCATTATACAAATAGAATGAAAACTATGCTGTATTTTGCTTTGAAACTTGCTGGACTGATTCAAAGTCTGACATATAGTTCAAGTTTGAAAATTAGCTTGAATAGTTTATCTTTGTTGAAGTTTTGACAGTAACATATTTTGCACATCTTTACTTTCAGCTTTTTGTCTGTACATTTGTCAGCTTTGCTGCGTGGCTTTACTTATTGACCTCTATATATCTAAGTATCTGTAACAATGGGGAAAATTGTATTTTCACTGCTTTGGTAAGAAGAACTTCTCAAGGAATGAACATTGTATCACTCATTATGCCTTAGTCATAAATAAAAATATGTTCAGAAATGATCAGCTATTTTTATTGGCTGATTTAATTGTAACTTTGGGTCTGTATTCCTCACTTTAGATACCTGTATTACTCAGACTGGGGTGACAGGGCCGCCATCATGAGAACTGACCTGGATGGAGGCAATCCTGAAAAGATTGGCACCAGTCAAGTGTCTAACCCTAACAGTATTCTAATAGAGGGTGAGTGAAGGTTCAGTCAGTTCCCCAAATTTAATGACTTAAAATTTCACAGATAAAAAGTCTTCATACATACATTTTTATAGTACTGTCTTACGTACTTAAAAGCAATAACAAACCTATTGAAAAGTAGGTAACCTCACAATTCTTTTCTAAACAAATGGTACAATGTATATACAGTGTATATATTTTTTCAATGATTCCATATATTTATATTTTTCCCTGTTGAAAAGATTGTGTCATTTCTGTACTTAGTTCTTAAACCAAATCAGACAGTTGGCATTTTCTTCTTTATTTCCAGGAAATCATCTGTACTATGTAGACTCCCAGTACAAGGACTCCACATTGAGTGCTGGTCTCCACTCTGTGGATCTCAGAACTCAGACAACTTCCAAGAAAAATGTCAATTTGAAGGTGACGATATGCTTAAAAACATGCATATTACAGTGTATTTCATGAATAGTGACTGAAAAAGTGCTAGTTAGCCAGCAATTGGGAGGGTGAACAAGTGAAGAAGTGAGTGGGCATATCCATAAAAACACCCACTTGCAATATGAAGTATTTTGTCAGATAAAATCATTTCTTTAAATTATATAATATCTTTAGATTGAGTTCTACATATGATTATCATGCTCATGTGAAGCGTTTCCAATGAAATGAAGACTTAAGAACATTCCTCTCCATGAAAATATGCCCGTACCAACAAGTGGCTCCCAACATATTGTGATTATTTTCTGTGTGAACAGGTTCCATTTGGTCTGGCAAAAGATAGCAGCACTATCTACATCAGCGACTGGGGTAGCAGCAGTCTGGTCACCTACAATGATGAGACAGCAGAAACTGCCACGCGACTCTCTGGATTGGGCAAAATTATGGGGCTGTTAGTAACGCCAGTGACAGCACCCACTTCAGGTATGCGTTTCCTATTTATGTAAAGTATATGGCATACCAGTAAATATTTCAAGGGTCTTTGAACATTTTGATAACTGAAAAACATATTGTGAGGTTTTAAAGCATATTCAGGTAAATTCATGCAGAGATCATATGCAAATTTGCCCCCTTTCTCACCTGAAATATGACTCAGCTGTGCTGCCCCCCCCCCCCCCATCTCTCCTTGGATGAGTTAATTATTTATAAGTTTGATTAAGAACAGTAAAAGGTTCACACGAGAGTTTACTCTGCTGCCATAAGTCCAGTATTATCAACAATAACAGTTTGTATGTGTTGCTCATAATTTTAGTTCCCTCCACAATGCCATGTAGAGACAGTGACTGTGAGGAAATCTGTCTACCCAAACCCCTGGTAGCTGCAGAGAGCGCAGTGTGTTCATGTAACAGCTATAATTACACAGTACTGCAGTCAGATGGGAAACAGTGTGCAGGTATTGGTCTTCATTTTAATCGATCAATTTAGTAATTGAATAATTTGATGGCAAATTAAGCCCCCTTTATACTGGATGGGGTCCTCTCTGCGTCCCATATACATGTAGTATGGCACCGTTTGAGAGTAAATGGAAAATACTTTACTTGCTGACAGCTGGCTGATCATTGAGCATTCATTCTGCAACCAAAATGATGCTTGTGCCTTCTTTCTATGACCACAGCAATGCCAGTTTCATGGTTGCACAAAGGACGCCGTCCATTGTAAAGGTTTTTTTTATTGAGATGAAATACTCCACGATAAATGGAATTTCCCTTTAATGCATATATTCGACTCATTCTCTTAATTCAAAAGAAGTGCTGTATCCAAGAGCCAACATTTTTCATAATTCTTTTTTTTATTTTTACCTTGAAATCATTCTACAAATTTGAAGATGTTAACAATTATTTTTTCTAGCATCAGAAGACTTTGTCTTGTTTGCTGACATGAACAGTATTAAGTTGGTGTCACTTAACCCTGTGACTCGCAGGGTGCAGACAGTCATCCAGGGCAATAGTTTTTACTCCAACTTCGCTGCTCTGGTGTATGACTCCACATCAAAGACCATGTATTTCAGTGATGTCAACAGGTGAGTCTGTAACCTTTGACCCACAGGGTAAAGTTCTCTTGTTAATAGCTGTAAGGTAGGTCATATATACACTGTTTAGTCAGTAGATCAGTTAGTCCATGGGTCTTCTGTCCTGAATGTGCTCTATGGCTGTATTCCCAGAGCTTTTAGATCGATCTATCCCCGCGGGGAGTCTCACTAGATTACTGTCAGATAATCCGGCTTAAATCTCCATCCCGCCTACTACAAGCTGTAAAGGGGTAATTAACTCTCGTGTCCGCTCGGCTAACAGCTATTTAGTGTGAACCCCCAGGGAGTTAGGTCAATCTAAAGTAGATCGATCTAATCTCTGGAAATGGGGTCTAACACGCCTCCTCTTGTTTCCAACATATTTGTATAATCACCAGCTTTCTGGATTCTACTCATTACCAGTCTGAACAGTCACATAGTAATAACATATGCCCAAAAAATCTATTTTCTATTTATAATAATTACTTATTTCTTGACACATGGGTATACATGCATTTGTGCATGATAAAAATCAACATTTGATTTAGATGATTTGTTTTTCAGTTATTTGGATTAAGATGTGCACTAGAGCTGTTTTCAACTACCAATGTACCAACTGGATTTTAAAATGTAGGGTGCTTTTATCCAAAAATGGCCAAAAATTAAAATTGGAATTGCTGAATATGAATATGAATGCATGAACACTGCCATCTGAGTACAATACCAGTACATCAGTGGACTGCTATATATTATATTTACATTCCAGGCAGGTGATTTTCAAAGCCAACATTGATGGCACCAATGTCCAGCAGTTCTACAACCCTGGTCATATAATAGACAGTATGGTCCTGTCGGGTGGACGGTTGTACTGGACAGAGTTTGCTGGTGGTAGTATAGTGTCCGTGGCTCTCAATGGAGATAACAGGACGTATACTGTCCATGTGACTGGGCTGGACAGACCTAGAGCTGTACAGGTTCACGACACAGGAAGTGAAAGGTAATGACCTTGGTCCAATCAGAGAAGTAGAGAAAATGGAATGCCAACTTCAAATCTCGCAGGCCGAGCTTGTGACCCCGAGAGTTGGGCGAGAGTTGGGGAGTTTCACTTCCGGGTTCCATGCCGCTGCATTCAACTCACGCTCTACATGTTTCAATAACTACTATTCATAGCGACTAGAGCTAGTTTTTACGATAATGTGATTTGCTATGGCGTAAACGGGAGTCTGGACATTCTAACTGCAGTTTTTATGGTGTGAAAACGGAATCATTAAAACCCAAAGCGCTTTATTTGGTGCGTGTGACAGAGTGTATTACCGAAGTCGAAGATAACACGGAATATAATTTAGCAATGTAAGTAATAACTTTTGTATTTTAATACAATATTGTGTTTTTTAAGCGTAAATTTAAGGAGTGAGAGGCTCATTCATGATATGATCTGTCCTTGAATACAATGGTCGTCTGACGCCGATTGTTTTCCGTTTATCCCTCAAGTGTCCATGTACGGTCTTCGAGAAATCTGTGAACTAAATGTCGTTATCCAAGCTGTTAATAAAAGCACAGAATATTTATACATATAAATATTACATATTTAGTT